ATTTTTAGTTTAAATCATCAGAATTCGTACTTAAAATAAAGTAAATTGATAATAAAAACATACTAAAATTATTTTCAAATTAAATTATTTGTTATTTACATTAGAGTTTAATAAATTTTACAAAAATACAAGTAGACAACTGTCGTTAAGTAGCAAACAGCGTATTTTGTATATTCATATGCTTCTTTGTGTTTTAATATAATGTTGTACTTTTAGTATAAAAAACTAGAAATATTTATCCGAAGAAGAGCTTGATATGCTTGCTGATACGAAGCAAGGAAAAAAAGTTGATTGCAATCAAAGCAATCATTGTCAATCAATAATAACTATTAATAATTGTTCAAAATAAAGCAAGGAAGAAAAAGTGAGACTTCATCTATTTCAAGAAAAAAGTGAAGTACAGTGAAGTAATATGTGGAGAAAAGTTGACGACAATTTTTCTATCAATATATTTTAGCAACTACTTGAGCAATTTTAATAAATAAATTGTTTTTTGTGAATTGTAGAGCTTTCACGCTGCATCTTGTGAGATATTTTGTATTTTAATGCAACGTATTAAGTGATGAAAAATTGAAATGCAAAATAGGGCCGTTTAATCTGCCCTACCTGTTATTTTTGGAGAACCAAAAATGTATATAACAAACTTCCTTTATTAACTCTCTTACGTCTTGAGTTAGAACCTCTATTTGTGCACAATAAGTACATTTTGAAATGCTCTTTAAAATGACTATTTATTTGTTAAAATTGCTCAAGCAGTTGCAAAAATATATCGATAGGAAAAATGCCGAGAACTTTTTTCCACCCATTACAATTGAAGTACAGTGAAGTACAAGTAGGAATGTAATAATACCAATACCTGTCAATACCAATACTTTAGTACCCTATTGTTATTGTCACATCCCTAAGTAGAAGTGAAATAGAGTGAAGTACAGTGAAGCACAAATGAAGTATGCACTCTTGAAGTCTCGCTTTTTCCCCCTTGCTTTTTTGTTATTTGTATATTCAAGTTTTGTATCAAAATTGACGTGTAAAATCAGTATTTTCCTGCTGTTCAGCTATAAAAATATTATATTGATCGAAAAAGAGCTCGGACTGATGTTTTCTCGATATAAAAGAAAGCTGATAATCACTATCAATCATTGTCAATCAGCTGTCAATCAAGTCAATCTCGTAAATCAAAAATTCAGCTATTTCCCCCTTGGTGAGGATTGTATTTGAGAATATAAACCATTTTTCGATGGAAAATGGCTTTCGTTTGAGTCTGATGAATCACAAAGGTTAAGTGAATCCGTGGTGGTAAAACTAGGCCAACAATTTCGACACGAAGTACAGCTAAGTGCATGATTAGCTAACTACAGTGTGCGGATGTGGGTTAAACAAACAGCACACACTCACACCCAAAAATCGGACGGAAAGATGACTATTCTGTGTATAGTCAAAATCTGAAAAACTAGTTGATTGAAGGACCTCGTATGATTAAGAACTTTTTTCATTCATTAGACTGGCCTCCCACTGAGGATCTGACAAAAAAGAGGAATAAAGAGGATCAATAAAAAAAATGAAAAAGAGGATTTTTAATAAAAAAAGAGGAAAAGTAGGAAGCTCTTATTTCAACCGTGCAACTTATAAAAAAACACTCTGGGTGAAGGCAAAGCTCCAATATCACGATATCTGATCCCTTTTTAATCTGTTTCCTAGTGGCTTTTAAATATATTTCGAAGAGAAACATTTATTAGTTCATATATATTTTTATTCGATTTATAACGCACGTAGTAACAAGAAAAAAAAAGAGCACGACAAAAATATAATAAAACAAAAGTTCAAATGTCTACAAACTAGTATAACATTAAAGTTTACAATGTACAAAAAGCTGAGAATAAGTTTAAAGATGGAGTATTCTTTCTTAAATCAATTACTTGCTATTTCCATCGTCTTTTGTTTTTTATTTTGAACTGATCGTCGATATGAAAAACTGTTCTTTCGTTTGTTTTGAATTTTAAATAATTCTTCTGTAACTTGGATGAGTTCTTCAGAGATTGTCTTAATTCTTTCATCACCAGTCCCAATTAAAGCATTTGCTGCTTGAGCATCTATCATGTCACCTTTTTTGAGAGCATTATCAAGCCGTTATCGCCCTTCACCCACCAACGACTATGCTCTCTTTTGCACATCTTGTAAATTTTTTTGCTTGGACAACAATTTCTGTTTTTGTTCAACTAATTTGTTCATGTCTTCATTTATATGTTCTTGTGTTTCAATCTGTTTTTCCATTCGTTCACTAATGGATTTCAATGATAATTGTTCTTGGTTGTAAACCGACTTCGATCTTTGTACAGCACGAATCATATCAATGTCGATGGGTACAAGATGTGGTGATCCTGAACCATAAAACTTTATTCCATCCCACGTGGATCAAAGCCCATTGATCGAAGACAAAGATAACATTGTTCTATTTTCCGTAACAAAATGTTTATTAATACTAAAACCTCGCTCAACATCTGAATTTTCATGAGACATGATGAGAACATTTTTGACAATTTTGGCCGAAGTCGGATATTTTGGCAACTCAACATTAGTTGTTAATGATAGTACCTTATTCCAATAATGATCAGTACGATGATATTCAATCTGAGTATTACCCTCTGAATCCTGATACTTACTCTTGATATGCCAAGATTCATCAATAGTCTCAGTTGCATACATCATGAATTCGTGACGAATACAATCGATTTCAGAATCACTTAATAATTTTGGCGATGATCTTCCAATACGAATCATTTGATCAGCTGAATCAGATTCTGTTCTTAATGAAGGATCTAGAAAACGTAAGTCTTTTAATAATTTATTTTTCAATGGCAGATGTTTTTTCAAGTTATCAGCAATCCCATAGTATATCATTTTTACATCATTGAAAAAAGTTGCACGTTCTGTTGTCGATACGTCTGCCAAAAGTCGACGTGTTTCTTCCCCTTAACGAAAGAAAAACACCAAGAAATATGAACATCAACATCTCCAACACAGCAAGATTTCTGCTACATAAGAGTTTCCATGAAGTTTGATAAGAGCTACGACTTACCAATTTGCAGCATTTTCGTTGTTATTTGTTTTTCAGCTGCTTTGAAATCAATTTCCAGAAGAGCTTCACCTGTTTTAGATCCAATATATTCAGCGGATAAAAATGACAATAAAACCGTCCGATAAAGATCGCTGAGTTCATAATGAAGCAAATGGACAAGTGAACGTTCTTTCTGGAAAAACGTAAGAAACCGATCGAAAATCGATCGACATAAGAACAGGATGAAATTCATTCGTATTTTTGTAATATTCGACGTTAATGATCCTCTAATATGTTCATAACGAGAATTATTTAGTATTTTTTTTCCTCGAGTTGATGGTAAAAAAACTAAGAAATATTCTTTTAATGTATCAAATAACTCTATAAGAGAAAATGAGACTGAGTTGTAAAAAGGGAGTAGGTAATCATTTCATTACTTACTGAGAATACGCTCAACCACTTTTCCAAGTAGTACCCATCTGGCACATGAAAAACATAAGATCGATTGTTTGACCGATTCGTTTAATTCATCAAAAATAATTTCGAAATCTTCTTTTCGTGGAGGTGATTTTTGAAACCAGAGCCAAATGTCATACAAAAGTTTTCGACATGCTAGTTTGTTTCATGGGTTCCTAAAAAATAACTCACGATTATACATTTTTATAACATTGATCATACCTGCTTTGAATCCATTATGAATTATATGTAAATTACAAGGATCGATGTTTAACAATTCAGCTCCAACTTTCTTCATAGCTTCATTGATAATATTTTCGACTGTTTTATTTACATTTGGATTATCTCGGCTCAACATCGATATCTTTCTAATGTCAATACCATCGGTTCGTAAAGAATCCAGAATACCATCAACTACTAAACTTGCTTGAGCATGGCCGAATAAAATCGTTCGATAGTATCTGGTAACTACCAGCCCTTTTTATGAGTTCCAATATCAAAAATATAAATCTAATTGTTTTCTGTTTTGGTTGTTTATTTGTTCCTCGAAACAAAGGATGAATCGTTGACAACTTTTAATATCATCGATCAGCTGATCACGAAAATAAGGTTCAAGACTGTATTAAATAGCGTAAGTCATTTTCGAATGTTAAATGGAAAATTTTTCGGCGATACGTGAATCTGGAAATATTATTCGAAATAAATCACCAATCTCGTCGGACTTGTTATAGCTGAAGGAATTTTGAATGGATTTAAGCGCCCATAATATTTCGGCTTTTGATACTTGATCATTGAATGATAAGGGTTTATTAGCATGGACTAGTTCAAGAATATTTGTAGAAGATATTGAAGATGTTGATGTTGATTGTGACGTAGCAAATTTTAAGTTATTGCTTAGAGCATTTAAATTCTTTTTATTTATATCATTTGACATGTGCTGTTCAACAGCCTTCCAACCCTTGTTTGAACAGTCTAGATCACCATTATGACATGCTGTACAAATAAATGTTGTTTCTGACGATCCTTTCTTTAACCATGATTTAATTGAGTTACCATTATCATCATATTTATTCAGCCAAGATTGATTGAACTTTGTTTTGGAAACACGTAGGATATCTTAGGTCAGGATTCGAGTATTTCCTGAAAGGATTCGCTCCAGAAAACTTTCCACAATAGTCTAACAACTTTCAAGTAGATCTCGACGAGCTCTATCGAATGGACATCTTTGGAGCCCAATTTGATAAACCCTTCCCTTCAGAAACGGTCAATCATAAATTCGATCCGTAGATTTCCCCAAAGACCTGAAGAGACTCGCCCAGGAGTACTTTCCAAGCCCAACATGTAACTTTCAGACTGGATCTAAACGAGATCTATCGAATGGACATCATTTGAGCTTGATTCGATGCTTCTCTTCCCAGAGAAACGTCAAATCCAGGGCCTAATTATTCAGTTTTTCAATAAAACCCGAACCGATTCGTCCAGGAGTGCTTTCCAACTGAGACATATGGGTTTCCAAATATATCTCAACGAGATCTATTGAATGGAGACCCTTAAAACTTAATTGGATCCTTTGTTTCTGAGAAAAATGCCTGATCCGGGGCCCAATTGTTCACTTTTTCAAGAAAACCCGAACCGATTTGTGCAGAAGTACTTTCCAACAGAGATATATAACTTTCCAAATAGTTCTCAATGAGATCTATCGAATGGACACCCTTAGAACTTGATTCAATGCTCCTCGTCCCAGAAAAATGTTTAATCCAGGGTCTAGTTTTCCAGTTTTTAATAAAAGTCGTAAGGATTCACTAAGAAATACATTCCAACTGGGACATATGACCATCTAAACAGATCTAAATGAGATGTATAGAATTGGCAGCTTTTGAGTACAACCAAATGTTCCTGAGGAAACGAAATCAGTAAAAACTAGCCGAAATCCTAGGTTGTTCCGTAAAACTTGTCAGGATTCGCCTAGCAGGACTTCCTAACGTTCTCGTAGAACTTCTGAATCAGAGCCCGACGTGCTCTGTCGATTGGACAGTTTCCGAGCTCCATTTGATGCCTCTATCTTTTGAAAACCTGTTATTTCCTGTAAGAAATTAGCTTTTTCGTGGCAGAACCTGTCACGATTCACTCCATCCTTGGTTCAAACTACATGACTGATGGTTCGAGCGGGAACTCGAAGAATTCAATCGAATGGATACCCGGGTGAATGTCCTAAGGGTTCATGGTGAACGTAGTTGCCTCCCGACCATATGTTTTATGCCTCGCAAAATATACAATCAATAGAATGAGCACATGCCAGCCACTCAACAGCTGTAACAGAATAGGCTGAAGGGTTTTAATTCGAGGAGAACTAAAACAAATCGGTAGCTAAAGAGAACTATAAAACAAGAGGGAAAAGAGTTTATCGTGCACGATATAAACCAAACGAAAAGAAAATTAATTTGTCATGCGGAATAAAACAACGAGAAGAAAAATAACTCACCGCACAGCATCTTATTTCGAAGCGAAGAAAAAGTTTCATTGGATGATTTCTATAACCGAATTCAGTGCTTATTTATTTTTTCTCTGCGTGAATTAGGAGGAAACAAAAGAAACTACGTGAATCTGTAAGCATCCGCGCCGATTTCCTGAAGCATCTTGATTAACTATGCCAAAAGTAGCATTTTGCTTTCGGGGAGGGCGGCGGGTACCCGAATCAGATGAACGACCCGTCTGTTTGGAAGAGATTGCTGATATTTCTCTGTATAGTTTTGTCACCCGCTGTAAGAGTGATTCGCAGTTAAGCACACCGGCTTTAATGTGAAAAATTTACTAAGTATGCGGAAATTACTGGATCACGGTGGTACCGGATAGACGAATCAGATCAGAGAAGAGTCTCTTACATAGAACTCGTCGAGTTCTATCAGCAACAAATCAACCATGTAGTGGGAACCAATGGTTGGGCGGATTGTGAAAGGCTCTTTCCACGAAAAACTGAATTTGTGACTTTGGATCGGGCGTTTCCAAAAGCCAACCGTATTAGACGCGACTAAAAAGGTACTCCATCAGTAGAACTGATCACGATCTACTTCAAAACTTTCATCTAGTTGTTGGAAAGTGCTTTCGAACGAATCCTGTAAGGTTTTACAGAAAAGCCTAGGATGCCTCGAGTTTTTTGCAAATTTTCTTGGCCCAGCACCATCTGATTCTGCTTGAAAGGTATCCAATCGGTAGAGCGCGTCAGATTCCATTGGGAAAGTAATATATTAGAGTTGCAGACAACTCTAGGGCGATTCGCTACGGCATTTATTGAAAAGCGGAACGAGTGGATCCCGGATCAGGCATTTTTCTCAGAAAGAAAGCATTGAATCAAGTTCTAGGGATCTCCATTCGATAGATCTCGTTGAGATCTATTTGGAAAGCCATATGTCTCAGTTGGAAAGCACTCCTGGACGAATCGGTTCGGGTTTTATTGAAAAACTGAATAATTAGGCCCTGGATTAGGCGTTTCTCTGGGAAGGGGAGGATCGAATCAAGCTCAAATGATGTCTATTCAATAGATCTCGTTTAGATCCAGTCGGGAAGTTATATGTTGGACTTGGAAAGTACTCCTGGGCGAGTCTCTTCAGGTCTTAGGAGAAATCTACTGATCGAACCTGTGATTGATCGTTTCTGAAGGGAAGGGTTTATCAAATTGAGCTCCAAAGGTGTCCATTCGATAGAACTCGTCGAGTTCTACTTGGAAAGTTGTTAGACTATTTTGGAAAGTTTTCTGTAGCGAATCCTTTCAGGAAATACTCGAATCCTGACCTAAGATATCCTACGTAAAAGAAAAAAACAACAATAAGAGGAATCTATGCCGACTGATCCATGCACTTCAACATTCTTTTTATTGTATCATCCACAATCACGAAATGACCAAATATAGTATTGAATAGCATTATTTTAACATTCGAAATAATTTTGAGAGTTTGATATTCCTCACTGGTTCTCTGATTTTGTCAATGGAATTGAATACATATATAAAGATCAGTAATAGAGGTCATTGATAGTTTGTTGTGTATATTTTACAGAAAAAGGTTTTGTTAATTGCAGAACGTGCTTCTTGAAAAGATTTATTCGATATAGTTATCCTTCAGAATAAGTGATTGATAATTACTACTTTATAACGTTTATTATCTACTCATAATTGATACGTATGACCAAGAAAATTCTATTTTATCTTATGCCAGATTTTGATGATTATACCCATGTAAATATTTCGACTATTCTTAAAATGACGATCACATTATCTACAAAAAACAAACTCAATCTTCTAGAATTTGATAATTTTCCAAACTCTATGCATCAACATTCAAAATGATAACAAAGTTAGTATGTATAATTACTCAGTCTTTGTAATCAAATGAGAAATCTTCATTAAAAGAAGCTCTAGTTGATGAACTAACTTATCTTGGATCCTTATATATAAAGATGAACTATATGAAAAACTATTGTTCGATTCAATGATCAATTTTTGACTCGAAAACTTATCATCATTAAGCTTCATAGCAATTTCACATAGTACACTGGAAGTTAGTTATGTACGTGAAACTAAGAAATATTTAAATCTTTTATAAAGTAGAAAATAAACGCAATAATTAATAATCACTTTCTATAAGTATCATCTAATAAATTATAAAATTTTCTCTTTCTTTTGAAAATTAAATTGAAAAACAAGACTACGTTACTCATATAATTTTACCTTTTCTTTTATTTAATTTCAATTTATTGGTACTTTTTTGTATAATAGAAATAAATAATTAGAAAAAGCCTATCTTTTCACAAAATTCTTTTTTTGCATCATTATTATTAATTAATAAACGCTCGGAAACATCAACTATTGAATCAGTTCTGGCATCGGGTCATGACTGACCTACCGTCCTTATTCATTATAGTACACTATCAAACGAAAGTATTCAAGTCAGAGTAGAAAAAAAACTACTAATTCTAAAAATTCATTTTTTGAAATAAGAATATTTTGTATCAAGAAATATCGATGTGAAGTTAACACGACGAATAGCTACTAGGACGGGTTTAGATAAACCTAAAATCCTGAATACTTGGACTTTTCAGGGCGGAAATCTGGGTGCAGGTGCTTGTGTACACATTGCCGAGCACCCTCATCCAGCTTCCATCCCCACAATATTCAGCGTTACAGACTTCAAGTTCACCTAAATCCGTCGTGATAGCTTCACATCGATTTACGAAATCATTATATTTTGGATTTATAAATAAATAAATAAATGTACATTTATCTTGAAGATGAAAGTATAAAGATTCGCGTTTATATTTAATTGCTATAAAAGATATCTATTGATTGGAACTCGTTCGACTGTCCTCATTTATAGAAAAACGTCAATTTTTGTTTTTGCTTTTCATTTTGCTAGGATTTCATCAATCAATTAGTTTCATTTTCTAGAAAATATTTTAAAAAATAAAATACTATAACATGAGCAGAAATAAAATTAAAGCAATAACTATCATCGAAATAATAAAAAAACAAAACCTTTTCAAGAAGAAATAAAAAGCAAAACATTTTTTTAAATTTCTTTCGTTTGTTATTGATATTTCAAGAATATTTTATATTCTTGAGGTTTGCAAAAATTTTATGAACAAAGACAAAAATAAAAATTTATCTGTCATCTAAAAATAAATTATTCATTCGTAATAGGGGAATGAACTAGACAAATAATTTCGTTTTGTAAGAGAAATCAAAGACAAAAAAATAAAAAATAAAACAATATACATAGAATTTTGAACAGTTTTTATTTAAAGTTGAAAACAAAATAGAACCATATCTGATAGAGATCGATAAATCTCATTATATTTCTATAAATATTATCTTAGAAAATAATGTAATTATCTAATAGTTTTTCTTTGATATAAATCAATCTATTTTCTAATAAGTATTTATAAATATACGAATAAAAAGTAGATTCGATTTCACAAAGAAAAAAAAACCTGAACATAATTAGCACCAATTTCTTCTGATATATAAAATTTATCAATAAGATTTTTCATTTTAAATAACTATTTATAGAATAATTCTACATGAATTTAATAAACCATGACTTCCATATATACGTCAAATACTCATGATCTCAAATGATTGTATAGTTAGATGTAATAAAGTCAAAAAGAAAAAATAAATATCGACATGAAAAATGGTCTGAAGGACATGGTTTATTGTAAAATAAATGAATCTATAACATTCTTAAGAGCATCATACTAAAGATTGTCAGTATAATGTTGAATTGAAATTGTTTTGACTTATTTCAGAATATTTATTCACTGTACATTCCCAATCTACGTACGAATGAAAGAGAGACGTAAACTATAGAACTACATAAAGTATTGATTATACAATTGGTATTTGATTCTCATCCACACAACGGAATTTTCTATTTTCAGAGAATTGATAGATGATTTCAAATTCTTTTTTTTGTTATCAAGAGAGAATAGTTTATTTTTCATCGAGTTTGAGAGAAAATTTCAAGTTAAATTTCATTAAATATAAAATCTAGTGATATTGAACTCAAATGTGCTTTGATTAATATTCATTTAACTTCTTAAGAATAGATCTTAGAATTTTTTATTTTTTTTCGTAAGATTTTTCATAAATATGAAATATTCATCCAAAGATAGGAAGGATCACTCGAAAAAAGCTGTTCATTTTTGTTTATGTTTCATTATTTCAATTGAAAATCGATCAAATTCGTTCATCTTTGCTTCATTTCACATGAGAAGATAGAGCAAAATGAGACGAACCTTTTCGTGTCTGAGAAACAACACTTGAAAACTTACTCAAAAAATACTAGTAGTTTTCCAAGTCCTCCCCAACTGAAATTGCTGAAAGGATTGGAGTTAACTTAATTGGAATAATTCAAATCACGATCTCAAGACTCTCATCATTTTTATAAAACAAACTCTATTATTCGATGTAAAATAGTCGAACAATTATTGAGATAAATCGACTTTTGTTTTGAATAGCGATCTGCATGATACCAATTGTCTACATTGGTTATTCGTTGAAGATATACAATACTATAAATGATTATTAAAGCATAATAAAAGACATTTTTTCAAAAAATCATCTCATATTATTGTTGTTATCGCTACTCGACTTTTTCAGATAAGATCTAACTGGGGTATCTGTTCTCGTTGATTTCAAAATCAGCTTTGATTCCATTAGGTTTAGACTCTTTCAATCGGATTTTTGGATATCAGTTGAGATCATTCTAGTTCATTCAGACTTATGTCATGAATCGTCTCAACATTACAGTGTCATTAAATTTTAGTTCAATCCCGTTTACTTCAGATAATCGGAATTTATTATGTCGATTTGAAATGATTCTTTGGTTTGCTTGCTTTGAATATGATGGAATAATTTTCGTTGTTTGATAGAACGGTTCAATACATTTTCCTTCGGTAAAATTTGGCAGTACAGATCTGTAGAATTAATATCAAGTTACTTTGTAAAAGAGAACGACTACTGAGAAACAATAAATAACTTCTATTATTTGTTGTCTGTAGATTAAGAAATTATATTGATTAATATGAATTATGAGCGAGGTTGAACACATGTTAGTTAATTATGTTCGAAATGAATCTTGTAAAACAATCAAGTTACTAACGAAATTATAACTTAAACATTGATATGAGAAAAGAATTTACAATGATCTGCATTGGAACATCTTGTTTTTCATTGAAAACGTGAACAAATGGTTTCGAATCATGTTCCACTACATACTTCTTTTTTTTGGTACAAAAAAACGTGTTTTTACCACAAAAGTCTCTTATATTCATCTATCTATATAAATTATTTTAATATATTTGCAGCATTTTATCATAGATGTCCTAATCATTTTTTTAGTGGAAATTCTTAAGTTTTCATGGAAAATGTTAAAAATCATTTGAGTATGTTCACTGTATTTCTCATTTGTTGCAATATCTTTAGACTTACAGAAAAGAAGTTAGTTAGAAAAAATAAAACTTTCATTCACTATGGAATCTTAATAATTATTGCTTATGTTTAATGTAAAATAATTCTGTTATCATTTGTGTAATTGAAGCAATAAATAACTATTTTCATATTTCTTTCTTCAGATTGAACGATCAAAAATGATTTATCGATTTGTTTTATGTTACGTATAGTCCGATCATTAATAAATAATATTTAACACCTTTTCTATTTTCTGAAAAACGAAAGATATAAATTATTGATTTTTATTTAAGTGAAATCAAAATAAGATTGAATTTATAATGAAAGAAAATAATGATGAACACCTTCAGACAGGATTATCGAGTCTTCAACAATTAATCGTTTCATTTTGGTTCAATTTTGTTCTGTTCTATTTCTAGTTAAGCTTTTTATTACACTTTTTAATTGATCATATAAATCTTTCAATTTAGTTAAATATGATAAATGTGTTTTAAATTTATTCAAAAATATAAATTAAGTAAAATAAGATAAGAATATTCAACAACCGAATATGAATAGTTATCAATGAATGGGTATTTGTAAGATCTTCAAATTTGTGGTCGAATATTCATAATAGATAATAATTTAAGTGATGAAAAAGCTTGAGTAATTAGAATGAAAAACTCATGTTTAAATGGAAGTTTATCGTGCAATTCCAAATGAGTTACAGATCTGAATATTAATGGATGAAAGATTGTTCGTAATCTATTTGAGACGATCAACTATAAATGGAAGTGAGAACACATGGCATACGATCTTAAAAGTATCGAAATAGTTTAGAATACAAGCCGCCTGGTAAAGATCTGTATTTACAAAAGTTCTTTGAATATCATAATTAGATATGCAATGAGTTGCATCATCACCGATGTCATTCTTTGTACTAATATAAAAATAAAATGTATAAAAACGTTATGTAATAAGTAACAAAAATCATTAAATTTATAAAAATTCCTTTTTCATTTTCTTCTTTCAATTATCTCTTATATATGTATATGTTACTAATCAAAGAGAATAGTCGATAATTTTTTTTTGTGTTCTTCTTTCGTTCAGTCATCACTCGTATAATATGATATTGAGTGCACGACATGTCATTTGTTCTTACACATTCCAGATGAAAAGAAAAATAAATTGAACATAACATGTGTAAAGACAATAGAGATATCGTACACTCAATATCATAGCATGCGTTAAAACAACCGGTTGTCATCATACGCTGCGTATTAAAATTCCGTCCACGTCGTCTTTCTTCGCGTTCTTCGTAACATAAGAAAAAAGAAATTAAAAACAAACGGAGCTTTTGAGGGTGGCTCTAAAACAAAATGAACCTTCCCAGGGATATCCGACGTTCTGTTGGTAACCTGTACAGGCGTGTAGATGTTAGGCCTTCATAACATACATCTATGTATGTGTGACTAGAAGTATCCATCTCGTCATCGTCTTTCCGAGGATGATGATCATGGATGTACTAGTTATGTATACATAAATGTATGTTTGCCTTATCATTGCCGGCTTTTTCCACTGTACAACCCAACAGGATACGGAGGGTATCCCTGGTCGTGCGTGCGCGAAATTTTTGCAGCTGGTGCGCTTCGGCGAGCCAAACATGTTCAAGAAGTCCAATTTATTTTCTCGTTTAAAAAAGAAACAATTACATTTTCTTTTTTACATCTTCAATGTTTCTTTTCACAAGTGCAATATGTGGATGATTTGAAGGTAGTGATTTTTTCCAGATGTCTTGCGTCTTTTCGTAATATGAAAGTGCTTTCGAATACTCGCCCATCTTATCATACACCAAACCGATACCGTTGTAAGAGTAAGCCAAGTCGGGATGATTCGGAGGGAGGGCTATTTTTTTTATTTCAAGTGATCGTTCGTACGATGAAAGTGCTTTCGAGTACTCGCCCATGTTTTTATACACTATACCGACGTTGTTGTAGTCAGAAGCCAAATCGGGATGATTTGGAGGGAGAACTTTCTTGTCGATATCAAGTGCTCGTTCGTACGATGAAAGTGCTTTCGAGTACTCGCCCATGTCTTTATACACCGAACCGATGTTGAGGTAGGAAGTAGCCAAGTCGGGATGATTCGGAGGAAGAGCTATTTTCCAGATTTCAAGTGATCGTTCATACGATGAAAGTGCTTTCGAGTACTCGCCCATGTTATAATACACTATACCGATGTTGTTGTAGGAAGTAGCCAAGTCGGGATGATTCGGAGGGAGAGCTATTTTTCGGATTTCAAGTGATCGTTCATACGATGAAAGTGCTTTCGAGTACTCGCCCATGTCATAATACACCAAACCGATGCCGTTGTAGGACGAAGCCAAGTCGGGATGATTTGGAGGGAGAGCTATTTTTCGGATTTCAAGTGCTCGTTCGTGCGATGAAAGCGCTTTCGAGTACTCGCCCATATAATTATATGCCCAACCAAGTTTTTGATTGTAATCTGATCTCTCTTTATCAGTAGATGCGTTTTGAAGAAGTATTTTGCAGAGTTTTTCAGCTTTTGCAGGCTCACCCACTTTAATGAGTATAAAAGCTAGTTGAGACCATCCTCGTATTGGTGCTTTCAAGTTGATATCTTCGCGTACGTGTGCTATAAGTGTATTTAGCTCGTGGTTGTCATTACCCACAAGGGTAAGATGAACTTTCCATAGACGATCAGTATGATCGTCATGAATTTGTTGAATTTTATCGATTCGAAATATTGTATGTGTTGTAAAAAGAATTTCAGCTTCTTGGCCTTCGAAAAAGCCAACTTGACTAACATCAGCAAATGGAATTTTTGATTTTGTACATACATCAGGATCAATAGTCATAATGAAGAGGATACCGACCATATCGGAATTTTTCGATGCTCCTTCTCGAGCAAATTTAACGGACACTTGACGATTTTCACTTGTGGACAAGAAATTATTGAAGGACATAAGTCCTCCTTTGGTTTGTTTCACTTTATCGAAATTTTCAACTGACAAACCTTGCCCACGGAATATTGTAAATGGCGCCGTAGCTTTCGTGCTGGATTGTTGTTGTTCATTATATAATTTTTGGATATGTTGATGTAAATGACGAATAAAAAAACCCATTTTGATTATAATGTCGACGTCCATTAGACGAAGGCCACGATTGAGCATTGAATAAATAAAGTGGGGTGCTGTATACCACCATATTGGTGTATGGTCACGATATTTTTTTTCAACCATCCTAATTTCGCCTTCATAAATATCATCTTGAAGACGGCAGTATTCAGCAAGTTCTTTAATTGATTTTGCATCATCGTCTTCAATATCCAAAAGCGTTTCTTTCAATAATTGCGTATACATAAATAATGGATCAACGCCATTAAAACTAATCGAGATCATAGCTCGATCACAATTTTCACGATCGATTTGTAATGCTTCACAAATCGATTCGATTTTTGTATGCACACCCTTTACCTTGGCTATTTTTCTGGCCCATCCTTCATGGATCGCTTGATTGCTACAAAACACATAAATTGATTCCAATTGTGGCAATACTTCAATTTCTGGTACGATTTGCCGACCCAAGGAACCAGATACAATCATAAAAATCTTTTCTTTTTTAATTTCACTAAGGAAATTAATACATTCTTGAGCATCCGTGAATGTTGTGATTGATGCCACAATACGTCGTAGGTGTTGTAGTGATTTCTTGAAATCTTCGTTGGACTCATTGAAATTGGCATCAAGCCAAACCAGAAGAAAATTTTGCAGAACCCGACGCACAGGTCGGGATAGCATGGTATTTCTCTCCGTACTTTTACTTGTTCCACTCTTGCCGACAGTAGCAGCAACAGTAGCACTACCACTTGTCGACGATGGTACTAATAAGGAGCTTTTCGGCTTAATTGATGTGGCTGACGATGACAGCAACGAAGATGAACCACTAGCACTTGGTGTTAATTTTTTTTTGTCCATAGTGATGGTGATGGTATGTGTTGTTCAAGAACGAAAACAAGTGAATAAAAATGTAAAAACTTCTTGAAGATAATAAAACAAAGACAAATAGACATCGTCTCTCTCTCTATATATACATAAATATTGTTGCTTGTTTCTTCTTTTTGTTGGCAATTTGTTATCGTCGATTGCTATAGGAGTGTGTTTCATTCTTCACATGAGAGACTTCTTATCTTTCCTTCGTTTCAAGAGTGTTGATAAAGTTTCTATGCATCAAGCAAGCAAGAGATAACAAGAACGAAAATGAGATGCATCATCATCCAAAGAAAAGAAAAACGAAATTTCATAAATAAAATTTATAGATGTTGCTCTCGTTCTTTTTTTGGTTGCTAAACTTTCTTCCCACATAGTAAGTAAGTTCTTATGTGTGTGCGCAGCTAGACATCTAGGAAGACGAGAACGATAAGAAGGTCAAACACACATATATTTTGTATGCTTGATTCTTTCGAATCAACAAAATTTCGAAACAAATTGCACGAAAAAAACATTATTCATTGGTTATTTGTTAATTTTGTCGTAGAATGACATTCATTATGTTATACTAATGAATGATGCACTATCGTGCTTCAAATAATCATAGAAAAAATGATTTCATTTCCATAGATAATTTATTACACATTTTCTCGATCTTTTAGGGTGTGGGTATAGATTTGGGGTGCGACTGTGGTGGTGGTTGTAGCTGTAGGTGTGGAGTGACGGTGTGAGCATGGGCGTGGATGTAGGGGTGAGGTGCGGCTTAGTATGTAGATGTGGGGTTGTGATTCGGTGCAAGTGCGTGTGTAGATGACCAGAATCCTAAAACCCACATCACACCCACCCCTCTCCCCCATCCACATCAACACATACACACCCACCAACCCAAATCCACACGTCCACACCCACTCACACCCACACCTCATACCCATACCTATACCCACAACTCATACCCACACCCACACCTCACCCACACCCACACCTCACCCACACCCACACTCACACCCACACATCCACACCCACACCCTCGAATAATTTTTATGCGATTAAAGTAGTTTACAACATATCTTGATGACTAACTTAGACATTGATCGTCGTAGAGTACGCTGAAAATCGGATGTGTCGTTCTGACTTACACATGTAAAACAAAAAAAACAAAGCCACAAGAAATTAAATTATATATACCAATGTTGGATTAAGTTGAATAATTTAATGAATTATAAGTGATTTCTACAAATGGTAATCAATTAAAAATCCAATCGATTATAATAGATTCTAAGAATAATCTATTAAAATTTGTTATCTACTTAATAGTCTAAATAATTAATAAAAAATTAAATCGATCAGAATAGATTGGATTTTTCACGGATTATTTCCATTATATATTGAATAACAGATTTTAATAGATTATTCGTAGAATCCATTATAATCGATTCGTTTTTTTGATTGACATTTCAACTTATTGCCAAACGAATCGGTTTTAATTAATCAACGTCTGTAGAAATTACTTATAATTGATTAAATTATTCAGTTTAATCCGACATTGCAAATATAATCAAATCTTCTTGATTTTTCGGAGCATAATCAGTTTTATTCTAATTTATTGTGAGTTCTTTTTTTACATGAGATATTAATACTGATTAGATTTCTAATTGTTTATTTAGAGCTATTCGAAGGGAAACAAATTTCAATACATTATTCGCAATGAGCCTGATTCTAATAGGTTGTTTTTAAAATCTATGAATATTAATTAGACTTCTAATCGATTATTGGTGAGGAAATCGTTTTTAATAGATTACTTAGGACACCTAAAAAAAAGTAATTAGATATATAATCGGTTATTTAGAGTAATTTGAAAAATAATGGGTTTCGATAGATTTTTCGAGAATAGATTGATTAAAATAGATTGTGCTTGAAATCTATTATAATTGTATTTTCTCTTCTAATGAATTATTTCATTTGTTCATCACATAAACAATTAAAATAAATGACCGATAGAATGAGAATATTGAAAATTTAATTATTTGCTCGTAGCATAAAACTTTTAGAAATAAAAAGTATTCTATGACTTTTCAAAGATTATGAGAGTAACGAAAAACACTTTCGTTTGAATAGTAATGTTTTCTCTTGTTTATTTCTTTGATGAAATACAGTTATTAACATGATCCTTCTATCTAAAAGCTAACAAATTGGTAAAACTGAATTATGGACAATAGCATTCTTCAATAAGCATAATATGAGTATCATGTTCTTCGCTAGAATTCGACAGTTCTCAAAATTACTCGGAACCGAACTGGAATTGCTGGTTATGATTAGAAAAAACGAAAAAAAAAACGATTCCTTCTTTGTTTCGTAAAATCTGTTCTAGAAACCGATCATTTTACGATTATATTAATAATATCAATCGAGTAATAGATTTCTTTTTTTTTCGAATTCTCATTTTTCAATTTTAAGATTGTTCATGTTTATTATTTCATCAGAAAAAAAGCTACTTCTCCAAACAGTTTTAAAAAAATTGAAAGAATCAAGAAGAAAAACACTTTCATACAATATGCTGATATGAAACTATCAATATGAATAGTCCAAAACAAAATTCGACTTCCTCATTTTCTTTATTTTCTTCAGGATCATCTGTACCACGAACACAGTGATCTCTGTCGCTCATTTTTAAATTTCTTTGTAGTTGTTGTAGTAGTAGATTGTTCTTCACTTCTATAGAAGATCGTAGAAGAAAGATAGTTGTTCGACAAGTTTTCTATTTATTTCATCTGTAGGTGAATCCATGGAATTAGAGATAATAGAAAAAAAAGATTCTTTTGACAAGTGAACTTTGGAGATCAATATCATTCTCTAGGAATAACTTAATGTATTTGTAATAATTAGATATGTTAAGGATCTGAACTAGTTTAGCATATGATTTATTCTTCGACGTTTGATAGAGCTTATAATGTTAGACATTTTTCAAGTAAATATAACTCCGAACAGTTTTTATTTTACTAGAAATAGATTCAGAGCATTTTAAACAATGAACAAACCTAAACTTTGAAAAAAATGCTTCTTTTCTTTTTCAAAATTTCGACAAAGTACTGTTTAATTCGATTCACCATTTATGATATTTTGAATCTATTTCCAACAAAATAAAAAGAATTTCGAAATAAACACTTTTATCAAAACATCAGAAATTAAAAGCTCTACAAACATTAAAGATTTCACCCGATTTTCTAATGTAGTTGAGGTCGTCAACATATTCAATAATAAATACATTGAGTTGTATCTAAAAGCAAAAGGATATAAATCTCCAAGCTTTATTTCCCAAAAAATGCTTTTATCATTATCATTATTTGTTATCAATGATGTTATGTTGAACTAGAATGTCAAAATTTAAAAAAATCAACATTCTTTTCCATCCACAGCAGTATAAAAACTACACAATGTACTACTATAGCGATCATGAACATTTTTGACTGAAAGTGATGCTGGATTTGAAGAGTTTCTTAGTAACTATTAAAACAATTTTCGATTCTGAGTTATAGAAATTGAGAAAATCGAGTATCGGTTCTATTTTGCTGCAAGCACAGGATTCTATTCTTCGCCTACATCCAAATGGTCGTCCTTGTGACAGGAGAACGAAAGAAAGAAAGAGTTGTAAAGAACTTCGTTAGTCTTCTTAGAGAGACACAAAGATTTTTTTTGTTCTTTCTATTAATACCTATTTTTATTGGGTTGCTATGAGAATATGCTTTGTTTCCTATTGAAAGATTTCTAATCGTACATTGCAAAAGTATTCGTGAGAAAAGTCCACGTCAAAGAACACTGAGGAAACAAATGCATTATCGTTGTTGAAGAAAGAAGAATCGAAAAAAATAGAATCACAATAGAGTGAATATTATTGCTGTCTGTTTTTTTTTCCAACATAATAATCTGTTTGAGCAACTAGAGAGACCATGTGTTTGAAATTGATAAGATTTCAAAAGCAAACAAAACCTTTCTGTTTCTTTTTCAAGATATTTGTTAAAACGAATAATAAATAATGGTTCATTTTAGAGTTTTAAATTCTATTTAGCATCGATTGACTCATAATCTCGTTTATGAACATCAAATTGTTCAAATAAAAATAGTGAACAAGAGTTGAAAATAAGATATCAGAGGTTTTAATCCTATTTAGTATTGATCTACTCACAATTTCAATACGGATATAGAGAACAAGTTGTAAATGAATTAAAATCAATGGGTATTAATAATATACGCTCTCACCCACTATGGTCGCCGTTTCATTCGAAGATGATATCGATGTATAGAACATAAAATTGTCCATTCATGAAACCTCACTCTGATCCATTTTCTTCAATCAATCTTAAACAAAAGAATCAAACATCATTTTTATGAGTTCACTTTCACTCAGATCCTCACAGGTGGGTGTGTATGTGAGTGGATATGGACTGTGGATGAGTGTGAAGCAGGTTTCGAGTTTCTGTAGGGTCTAGATATGGGTGTAGGTGTGAGAGTTGGATGTGGGCTAGGCATGGCAATGAGTGTTTGTGCGGGTATGGATGGAGAGAAGACCTACATTCACACAGACATATGCATCCCATTCTCAGGTTCAGCTTACGCCCACTGCTAAACCCATACTCACAATCACTACACATACACTGAACACTCACACCTAAATACTATTCCACACGCACATCTACCACGTACACTCACATCCAGTATCATAGAATATAAGTGTCGGTATGCGCTGGGAGTGCACTGAAAAACAAAGTGTGTTATCGAATCATTTTGAAACGAAGTCTAAACCCTCGAAAAAGTTTCGCAAAAACCTTTGACATCTTCAAAAAGTTTCAATAATATTGTGAAAAAGGCAGAAAAATTGCAAGAAAAGGATTGTTCGTCTTCTTAGTTAAGTAGAGATTGTTTCGTTTTTTTTGTTGCTTGATAAGTTGTTATGTATGCGAGTGTCTTTTGTTTGTTAGTAAACGAAAGATTAT